TATATATATATATATATATATATATATATATATTGATAGAAATTACTACAATCCCGTTGATAGAACGATTCCGCCAGTGTTTGGTACCATAGGTTATCTATACTACATGATCTACATGTGTATCCAACGGTGAAAAGCATTGACGGACCATACTTGCTATGTTGAGTAACTATAGGAAATTCGTGTGTGTGTATTTATTTCTAAGACGATTAAATGCAAAAAATATCTCCATTTTATGCAATGGCGGCCTCGTCTCCATCAGGTTTATTCTTATAGTTTTTAGTCATTTTCGAATAAATTACAAATTTGTCCAAACATTTTAATGAACATGCTGCTACATTAATAGTGGTTATTTACTTAATTTTCATTTGAATGCAATATAAACAATGATTTTTTTGAATATTAATTGCAGAGCATTGCACAAGCTATTGGTGATTGGTACTTTGATCGAGCTATTGTCAAGTTGATCGACACGCAGTCAGATCGTCCAATAAATTGTCATCTATATTGAAGGGTGTAGTAATTACCCAAATCTATCAATAATATTTCTCATTCTACTATTTTCATCATTATCTTAATTTATAACTTATGTAAAATTGATAAGATTGAATTGTTACAAGAGCATCTAAAATGGTCCATGAATTGCTCATTTTCATTGCCACATGTATAATAAATCTTATGTGGCATTCAAAATGTTAGGAAGTTTTTCTAATGTCTAGAATTACTTCTAGACATCATCTATTATTTATATTTTTTATTATTTATTAAATATATATCTCATCTCCAACCAATTATAATCTTACACATTCAAATTATACTAATATGAACAATAACCACGTTGACGTTCATAATCGGTCAACCGTTAATAAGTGATTTATGAAGGATAAACTCAATAAAAAGATATGATTTTACAGAATAAATGAATTTTTATTACTTAATTACGATGTCGTTCTTTTTATTAAGGTCGGCACTTTGATTACACTTGGAATATTATGAGAATCTATACAAATTGGGAGGAGTAAATGTAGAGAGAGGAAGTAGTTGGTAAGGAGAACAACAACCGTTAATAAATGAGGGTGGAATTATATTTATACTAGCCTTAATCTGGTGTTGTTCATGCAATGTTCATCATGTCTGGTCGCATAGTGATCTGGAATGACAAGTCGACACAGCTCTGACAGACATTAAATGAAGTTAAATGAAGTTTGAGGTTTTCCCAATGATTACCTGCCAAGCATTAAATGACACACGTGGAACCTTTAATACTGACAGGACGCCCTAATGAGCTAGATGCTCTAGGGTGGCTGACTAGGATATCACGTCCCATCGACAATCATCAGCTGACAAGTGGCAATATTATATCATTTCCAGATCCCCCCTCCATACAGGAGCCGGTCTCGTCCGAACTTCGAAGTCGGACTTTTGTCACTGCTTCATCTTCTGGTCTCCGGGGTTCTACGATTTCGTTCGGCGCTATCTTAGATCGGCGTCATCTCTTGCTCATACAAAGTTCCGCTCTCAAGGATTGCACTACTCGTCATTCTCGTCAACTTTGTTCCTAACCCAGCTCGGTCTTTCGGGACATCTCTACGCCGGCCCGGATTTCCTAGTTGTCTTCGTTCGGTTCCTCGACCTTGAACTGTGGGTTCGTTCAGTTTGTACTTGTTAGAGTAAAGCCATAAGTCAACTAATTAGTTTGTTATGCCATGCTGTTAGTTAGATGATTAGCACGTGATAATAAGACTTAGTTTGTGAGGCTTTTTCTGTCTTCTTTGTACTGTATATAAACTCTTTACCATTGAGAAATAATACAATAGAACATTATCACTCATATTCATCTTGCAATTATATCTAACATAGTATCACAGCTAAGGTACATTTTTCGCCATGGCCGAGCTCCATGTCTCGTCGCCGGCGTCGCCCTTTCTTCCTCATCTCTCTCCGCTACCTCTCCGCCTTGATCGCTCGAATTTTTCGTATTGAAAGCTTCAAATTCTCTCCACTATTCGTGCCTATGGATTTGAGGATTACCTGCTCCAATAGTCTCCTCCGGCGAAGTATCTTCCTACCGCCGATGGATCTTTATCCTCTGCTCTCAATCCGGCTTTTGTTACCTGGCTCCGCACTGATCAATTGCTTATGAGTTGGATGCTTACTTCAATGACTGAACCTATGCATGGTCATGTCACCAGATGCTCTTCTTCGGCTGAGGTTTGGTCTGTTCTTCTTCAACTTTTTCGTTCGCAATCCAAAGCTCGTGTGCTGCATCTTAAGTTCCAGCTTCAAACACTTAAAAAAGGCGATTTATCTGTTGATGATTACATCCTTAAGATGCGTAGCTTTGCGGATGAACTGCTATCGGTTGGTCATACTATCTCTGATGATGAGCTTGCCATGTATATTCTCGGTGGATTAGGTGCCGATTATGAGTCTGTTATGGTTAATCTCACCTCTAGGCATGATTCTATTTCCTTACCAGAGGTTCAGTTCTCCTTGTAAACGCATGAGATGCGATTGGCTAGCAATGTTTCTTCCTCTCCGGTTGCTTTTCCGGCTATTTCTTCATCCTCCGTGCCTGAAAATGTCTATTCAGCTAACTTTGTGCAGTCTCGTGGCCATGGTGTTTTTAATAGAGGCCGAGGTCACTCCAATCATGGTCGCGGTCGCTTTTATACAAATTCTGATAGGGTTATTTGCCAACTCTGTGGTAAATCAAATCATGTTGCCCTAAAATGCTACAAAAGGTTTGATATTAGCTTCACCGGTCAGGATGTTCTTTCTCCTGCTCCTCAGGTGCATATTGGTGAATCTAATGCATCTCAACCTCTTAGTGCTGCAACATCTACCTATGGATCTGATCCAAATTGGTATTTCGACAGTGGTGCCACAAATCACTTGACTGCCAATCTTGAAAACCTATCCATTCAAGCACACCCTTATCAAGGTAATGCACAGGTGCATGTTGGTAATGGGTCAAAACTGCACATCTCATACTGGTTCTTCCTCTATTGCTACTCACAGTCATCTTCATGTTCTTTTAAATAATATACTCCTTGTCCCACACATTACCAAAAATCTGTTGTCTATCTCTCAGTTAACCAAAGATAATAACATTGTGATCGAATTTCATGCTGATATTTGCCTTGTGAAGGACAAGATCACTCAACAAGTACTACTGGAAAGAGTGCTTAAAGATGGATTATACCAGCTGGACTTGTCCAAGCATGCTTCTCTCTTGTCTCATGTTTCTTCTTCACATTCAGTGACTTCTCCTTGCAGTCTTGCAACCTCTGTAACTTCTCCTGATATTCTATCTTGTTGGCATAGAAAACTTGGCCATCCATGCTTCAATGTGTTTCAAAGAGTTATGAGTAGTATGCATTTGTCTGTTCCTTCTTCACTTCCTTTTTGTGATGCTTGTAAACTTGGAAAGCTTCATCAGCTGCATTTCAATTCTCAACAAACAAAGGCTACTTTTCCTTTTGAAATTGTGCACTCAGATGTATGGGGCCCTTCTCATGTGTTGTTTGTTGATGGCTACAAGTATTATTTGCATTGTATTGATGATTACACAAGGTACACTTGGGTTTTTCCATTGAAATCCAAATCTGAAGTTGCACCTGTTTTTCAGAAGTTTGTCAAGTTCATTGCCACCCAATTTCAATCTTCTATAAAGTGTTTTCAATCTGACTGGGGTGGTGAATATAGGTCCCTTGTGCCTCTCCTCAGTAATCTTGGTATTCAGTTTAGACACCCTTGTCCCCATACTCACCAGCAAAATGGCAAGGCTGAGAGGAAGCATCTGCA